TCTTTAAAAGAACCATCTGAACGTGAAACGTCCAAGCCAGCAAGAAAAATTAGATTTTGTATTTATCTAACTAACATAAATCTTAAAAATTTTAATAGTGAGGCTGTAACATGCTTGAGGCCCACATGGGAGATAAAAGTAGGGAAAAGGTTTCATGGAAAGGCAGCAGGGAGAAATCTGTTTTTTTAATTAGGGAACCAGAAGAGATGCAAGGAGGACTGTAACGTTAACATCTGCCACAATCCGCACCACCATGGCGGGGAACGGGTAATTGCGTCTGTCTCTTAAACGACTGTCAGCAGCGTCCAAGCCACATGACAAGCTTCCTAACTCCAACATCCCCGAGCACAGGAGTACAAGCTCATGCTGAGAAAAAGGCACGAGGCGTGCAGGATTGCTCCAAACACACAACTTCATGGCAAAAGGATGAGTCTGAAGGCTTCTGCTGGAAGCCCAAAAAGAAAAGTGGCGGCAGCAAGATCTGTCTGTGTCACCTTAGCGAAGCAGGGGAATATCTTCCCCAGCTAGTAGTTGGGGAACCAAGGTAGACAAGCTTTTAGCCAGGAGTCAGCAAGAGAAGCAATGGATTGAGCCTAGGTGCCTTGAAACACAATCCTCTAGCTCAGCTGTACAGCTCCAGATCACGCCTGCTCTACCTGCAAAATTCCGCAAGTCTCGTTCTGAATAAAAACTAGGATTTTAAAAAAATTATTACTGATTACACAAAACAGCTATGATTGTAATGTGCATATCAAACTTAGTGAGGCTGAGTTTTGTTGGTTTCTCCCTTATCTTCCCGTTAACCCAGAAAGGGACTGCAGTCATTTTTAGGTTCGCAAACCAGTACTGACATGGGAACTGAATCTCCTCCCGCTAGTGGGCATCTTGTCTAAAGCACTAAAGCAGGCACAAGGCTGCGGATTCATCTGAAAAACACATGAGCAGGGTTTCAGCCGAACTGGTCATAAGGTTTTGGAATAAACACCTCTGCTTTTTTGGGTGAGTTGCTAAAAGAGACCATTTCAGGCACTCTGCAGACTCTGGAAGACATTGACCTTTCTTTCCTTGGACTCAATTCACATTTTTCACTTCATGGTCACGTGGGATTATTATCTGTAATTGAAAGTAAAATTGTAGATTAAGGAAAAAATTTTGCACAAGAACTCAATTATATGTCAAATTCTGAGCTGAGGAACTACAGAATATATTTGGTCCTTATTAAACGTTATTTCTGAAATGAATGTTAATTAAAGAAGGCTGAAGATGCAGGCTGGATGGATGAAGACAAACAGAACAATCTCAGACCGCTGCAATGACAATGTTTCCCCCAACGGAGACAGAACGGATGGCTAGTCTTGCTCAGATTGCATCTCTTGAGAGGACAATTTATAATGTACAAGACAGGAGAAATTTATTTGCTAACATATGGAAAACATTTATGGGCTCTACTGAGGATCTGGAATTAAAGAAACACAACTACGTATTGTTAAAACTTCTAAATGGAGGTTTCTTTTTAGAAGTAAGCATTCTTCCCCTCAAGTCAGTGACATTTATTTCTATATCCTTTTGCCTTCTGCCCTGTCAGGTACGAATTTCAGAACACTGGTTTCTATCGATTCATCTAGCTGCTGTAGGTCTAATCCACAGGAAAACTATTAGATGGCAAACTCCTGCTTTTACAGATATAACCCAGGCTTTGGAACGATGGATGGGGAGCATACACCGCAGGGATGGGGCAAGGTACTGCTGCCCAATTTATCGTCTTGGCACTGCAACTTACGGTGATGGGAGGAGATAAGGCTACTGACAGCAGTGATACTTCCCAAGCTAATGCTACGCAGCCACAGCTGTAGGTAATTCACCCCCTTAAAAACAAAAAACCCCACCTTCTGGTACAAGAAAATGATCCTCCATTAAGCCACACAAGATCATAGCCTGCGGAAGAGCTCTACCTCTGGGGCAAACCTTCTCTTCCCCATGAAAATCACTCGCTGGATGCCTGGAAGGGTTGCGTGCTGGCTGATGAATAAACAAACCGGATGATACATGAGTTGCACGCACACAAGTATGCACAAAGTCATCATCCCACGGAGCAGTACTGAAGCTATCAGGATCGGGGACAGTATAAAAGCCCTGCATCAGTCAATATCCAACAGCCATATTGGGGTCAATGCTTATACATAATGAGGGTCGTTGTTTTCAAGTCGATACCATTACATTGATGCAAACATCAGTGCTGATGGGCAAGATAAAGCTGGAGTGGCCATCTGCAAAGCAGCATAAGAAATGTGAAGTTTTGGACTGCTGTGGTTGAACAGATTGAAACATCTTCAAGGAGGAGCAGGACCTTGGGCCAAATATTTGAGGCAGCAGCGCAACAGCAACGGCTGGGATTTTCAGAGATGGGTAAATGACTGATTAAATGACTCAATCATGCAGATGCTTTTGAAAATTCTGCCGCACGCAGTTAAGTTTATTCATGCATGTGTGGGAGAGGGGGAGGACTGTGAAGATTTTAATAACTACCTTAGGAAATAAAAAAGAACAAATGTACTTTCTCTTTAAAACAGAGCAAAAAAACCCCCAAACCCCCAAAATCCACTGCTGTGGCTGGGGAAAAGAGTTTACAGGGAAGTTGTGAAGAAGTTCTGTGAGCAAGGATGACCAAATGGACTATGATACACAAGTCAAAAAGTAGTGCAAAGAAAGAATGACACAGAAGGGGAAAAATAAAACATATCACAGGCCTATCAATTTCTTCCCGTCTTAAAACCCCACCATGCTTCAGTCTGTTATTGCTGGCTTATGCAGACTTCATACTCCACCATCACCTACCCGATAAATGGGAAGCTGGGAGCTTCAAAGATCTGAAGGACTACAGAAAAAGGAGAGACTTCATCCCAGGAAAGCCAAGAAGAAATATTCAGGGAAAAAGATGTTCCTAAGCCCTGATTTTTGGACTACACCACCACACCCACCCCGACGTGACAGCTTGACCAATGACACCACGTGAGCTACCACCATTGGTGTAGTCCCTCTCACTACTCCAGAGATCATGCAATGTGCAGAGAGTACTGGCAGGCAGGGCACAACCCTGGAGCAAACGTCCCCCTGGATCCCAACAAGGTGCCAACCGCAGCTGAGGTTTCCCTCTGTGCTAACACTATCGAGCAGCTTGCTCCTCCTTCTCCACCAAGCATCCTACCCATAAATATCTGCACAGTGGGGGGTTATCTGTCACCTCTCCGGGGTCAAGTAGGGGGGAAAATCTCTCACAGTTTCGGCTCTTCACTTTGAATGCAGGAGTTTGAGTGATTTTGATGCAGCTGGAGCACCATTCATTCAACTTTCCCAATGTAAAGCAACACCTACTTAAAGGCAACAGCTTTTTCCTCCTGGTAAAAAGCACCTTACAAGTTTAAAAATCAATACTCAGCCACAAGATTGAGCTTGTGGAGAAATACAGGAGCACTCCCATGTCCCTAAACATCAGCCAGTTGGACTTCATCAAAAATATCCTTTCCTGTTTCCACAGGCTACTTTTCACTGCTTTAACACTGAATATTTCCACATCTAACCCAGCAAGAGCTGGCACACACCCGCCCCAGGCATGTTTCAACAGTCGTCCCCTTTCTGACGAGCACCAAAGAGCCGCACACAAGTCCAACGTGACATTCAGCCCCACCAGAGCACAGCTCACCCAGTGAATTTGGGGACAAAACAGCACAAATTGGTAAACTGCTCTGTCTCCAGTGGTGCTTCCCCCCACCCCATCCTGTCCCATCCCATCCTAGTGCCTATAAATCACTTCTGGCAGGTAGTTGGGAAGCAGCTGCTAATGATAGTTTTGCTGCGGAGCACAGGAAGTCACCTTTTAACCCTGCCTGCTGTTGTTTGTCTCCCAGAGCTGTGACAAAAGGACAGATGTGGACAATGTGCCAGCCGTCGGGAGGATCTGGTCAAAACCCAGCAGGGAACCTGCCCTGGTGTCATACCGGTGAAACATCACCCTCAAAACCACCTTTCAGCTTCAGGTGCTTCCCAGTGCCTGTTCTCAAATGGCTTGATGTTGGTCCTCAGTTTTCCCTCATTCACCCTAAAGATGCAGGGAAGCACCCCAAAGACAGCTTTGAGTTTGCTGTTGCTGTGCTGAGGATGTCCCACCTTCCATCCAGTCCCCACCTGTGCCACGGGACAAGGAGGGCATTTATAATACAACTAATGCACGTACGCGTTGGGGGGGGGGGGGGGGGCTCGTGATTGGAGCTGAGCAATTTAATAGACAAAGTATTCGTTGTGAGCGTCTTGTTTTCAGCCCATGGAATATCCACGATCGGATTACAATTTCATCTGACAATTTTCCCCCCCCCCTTTTTTTAAAGTGTGCAAGTGTAGCAGGCACAGTAGCTGCTTCTGTTTCAGAAAAGCTCCAAAACACATTTTAGACATTACCACAAATTAAATATGAGCAACTCACTCCTACTTAAGTCACCACTGGTTAGGTAGACGGCATGCTACTGTGCCTTCCTCCAGCTGAAAAATACTTGTTTGAACTTTCTACATTTCATGCATAGGTGAAACACCTTTGAAGTTGGCTTTTGCTAACAACTGCAATTCAAAATCTCATTTCCTTGAGTAAGCACCTGAGTAGCAGCCATCTACTCCAGCTTGTGGGAAGCTTTTTAAGGACAGAGAGAGAGGTATTAAGAGGTGTCCGCACCACTCAGACCAAGCCATAGGAAACGTGAGAGTTATTATTCACTCACTTCTATCCCTGACATTTGCTCTGCCATGCTTTTCACGTGGTGACGGGAGGCCAACAGAAACCCAAGGCTTTACCCTTCTGGAGACAATATATTTCCATCAAATAAAACACACCCACTGGCCACACATGATGATAGCTGGAAGCCAACCCTGAGGCATAAAAAGAAAAACCCTTTCCAACCTGACCATGTAAACTGGAGCGTAAAGGAGAATGACCTTGGGTGAGATGTACTTACAGTGAAGACATCATCATCGCCAACCTCGGCCTCGTTGTGAAGTGTTGACGAGGAAGTTGTAGACCCTAGAAAAAAGTAAACGGCTTTTTAAACACATGACATTTCTATGCAAGTTTTTTTTATTAGGCTGGTAAACATTTGGATTCTCACAAGTTTGTAAGTTGCATCTCTAAGGAAGAAAAACCCATCTACTGGTAGCCGGGTTGGAAAGGTAAAATCTGAAAGTGTTTCTTGACACACAACTGCATGGCTGCCAATGCTAATTAACTATGTTAAAAATAGCAGTTACCATTTCCAGTTACAGAAGACTTTCATTTCTGAAGAACAGTAACGCTACGTACTAGTCAGTGCTCAAGACTAGATCCTCAGCTGTCAAGAAACCATATATGTTATTCTTCATGTATTCCCTAAATCCAGAGGAAAATGACTTTTTATTTAAAAAAAACTCCAAACAACAAAACCCCCCCCAAACTTCACTTTGACAATGAAGAGTTAGATTGGGTTTTTTTCTTCTTCTAATTGCGGAAGTTGTTATATATTGTAAAGGTCTTCTCTGTTATCAGCTATTTCCCAGAGAACCACCTTGCCCCACAAAGGCAAAGTATGTGAAAGGAGCTGAAATGTGTAAAGCCATAGACAAGAGCAAAACACTGGGGTGCAGTTCTCATTAATTACATGGCAATCATCTGGAAAAGCAGGAAATCATATTAAAAATCCTTCCTCCAGCCTCTTTCCCCATCCCATGGGTGTCCTGCTCCAGAGCTGCTCAAGAGCCTGGCCAGCACCCACATCACAGAAGGGCAGAGGGGAGGGTGGCATATGCTATTGCTGGACTTGGCAGTAAATTTAGGCTGTGGCTGAAAGGGGGTGACCCCTCTCCCTACCCCCAGGCCAAGCATCCTGGACCCCTTTCCCAGCTGGCTTCACCCACCATGAGGCTGCCAAGGAGGGTAGGTACAGCAAGATGCTCTGATGGGGGGTGACCCAAGCCTAAGGCTTTTTTTTTTTTTTTATGTAAGCCTACTGTTACACTGAATCAGGGCCACATCACATCCCTAACTAACTTTTACCACCTTCATTCTGGAAATTTTTTAAAATAATGTGCTTTATGTAATGCTATCTGCACCAGCCTTGGTGGCTGTCAGTTGCATCACCACGAAGATGTGCAGAGCTAAGTGTGAAAGCCCACTTAAAACACTAAGTAACATGGAAACATTTGTGCCATTTGCTACATTAGCTTTGAAAGTAAAAATCCAGACGCTCTCCAGAGCTGCATAGGATTCCTGTACTGGTGCACAAAACTTCCATGCTTCTGATGCTACAGGGAACAAGCTATCGGTTAAATATTAACAATAAACCAGTGATTTCATGAAGTGAAGTTCCAAATGCAAATAGTTTGTTGTGCTTAATGTTACCTGCTAAATTTGATCAACTACGCAAACAAAAATGAACGATAAATGAAATCCACTGCCGGATGCTGTGTGTGCCTGAGCCAGTTATTGTTTTTCCTTCAGAAAGCCTTATTTGGAAGTTAAGGAGGAACACATTCATGAGGATCAGTCTGTGCTGTTAATGGGATAAATATAGATTTGCTGATTTTGAAGCATCTGAGATAAAGCAGAACCTGATTTTAAATACCTCCACTGTAAAATGGATCAGAAAGAGCAGAACAGGAGTTGCCACATACCGGCATCTCCAAAATACTACTCGATACGGCTGAGTTATCACCTCCTTGAAACTTGGCACAATCCCGTGCCACTTACATAAAACAATTTTCATGACTCAAAATACTTCCCAGTTTTAACAAGAAAGAAGAAAGCCCAAGGCCTAGCTGTAACTTCTTCACGTTAATGGCACAGGAGAAATCAAGTGAATAACTAGTTGAGAAGATCCTTTCTATAGCTGATGAGGTATTTACCAGGAAAGAGCCCTGGGGGATTAATTCTCTCCCAGTATCTACCACCTCCATGTTAAAGCAAGGACAGGGCATACAGAACATTAAGCCATCTTATGGAGCTAGTATCCTCAAAACATAATACCTTCTGTATATAAAAATATCCCAGTCACACCGTGTGAGAAGGAGAAAGGCTTTGGACCACTAAGTCCCTAGATAAGGTGGCGCGGTTAAAAAAAAAACAAAACCAACAAACCCCAAACCAAAAAAATCAAGCAAAAACCCCATGAAGAATCAAATTTCATTAAAGTAAAGTACTATTGAATTATAGCTGTATTATGATTGTCTGATTGCAATGAAATGCGAAAAGGAAAAATTTATGACAACTTCAAAGCATGGGCAATTCAAACACTTTTTTTTTTTTAACAGAATTAAAAAACAAAACCAAAAACACAACAAAGTCTTCAAGAACTACCATTCAAGAGGACGCAGACAAAACTAATTACTGCAAAAAAGCAAAAACAAAACAAAGTTTTATTCAACTCCAGGAAAGAATTCATACCATGATTTAACAAAGACTCAGTAAGACAAGATTTGGCTGCATATAAAGAAGAGCCTGGGCTGTTTGAGTTGCTATTGCTTGCGTGAAACCCAAGTCTATCAAAAAAAGCAGTAATAACAGACTCAGTGATAATTAAGAGGGGAAGTCTGGGCAGACCAGGCCAGATAGGATTGGAAAATACTTGGACTGAAATCCCTTCTCTCCTTAAGGGATAAAAAAACCTCAGTTCTTAAGAGTAAACTGGGGCTTGCTCGGCATAGGGTAAGTGCCCGGCTACAATTTGAAGAGACGTCCAAGCCCAAGAACTGATTTTAAACCCACCCCTCTTCCCAGCTCCATGACTCAAACCCCCTTGCCCACTCTTCCAAGGGTTGAAGTGGCTGCTGCTGCACACTGCGGTACCTTCAATGAGGTCCTCGATGGCTTTCCTCACTCCTCTGTCAAAGGCTCGAGCGTCGGCGGGGCTTTGAAAAGTGAGCCCAAACTTTCTGTTGTCGACTTTCCAGTGGTGGAAGGTGGGGTTTGCCTTTGTGTACACCAGGTCCTTCTTCACAAAGCACTCCAGCACCACCTGGGAGGGCACAAGCCCCAAAAGAGGAGTAAAATCACTTTTCCCGCTCCAAGGACACAGCCGGCACCGTCTCAGCCCAAACCCATAAGCAAGCCAAGTCATGCCTCGCACAGGGGAACATCCTTCCCTACCAAACTATGACTAACGAACACCAGACACTGTAATTGTTCTCATAACCATTGCACATTTGTTTTTGCTTGTGCTTTGAGTAGGTGCTTGCTCCCTACCCCAGCAGCCCATTTTGGACCCAGACCCAGTGCGGCACAGGTTACAGCTGGTGGGGGCTCAGGTGGAACGAGAACCTCTTCCCTCAATCATTTTGCTCAACAGAAATTTATTCACCAGCAGGTTTAGGAGGTGCTGTAACATTCACCTCACCTTTTTTGCCTCCCTCACCCCTAGCTGGGCACTCATCTCAAGCTCTGCTGGGCCAAACCCCACGATGCTCAAGGAGGACAGCAATGGCTTCTAAGTCTTACCCCATTCCCCCAAACAGTAAGCATGGCTCCAAAATAGCATCAAAAAAAGCATCCTAAGCAAAGTAGTATTGCAAAAGACAAACTGTACTTGAAACAGCTTTAAAACGCCAGTCTTTTTGAAAGCAAGATCATTTCCGACTCAAATAATGCGGTTTTTTTTTTGCCTAAACACTGAGTTTGCAGAGCCTGTGCAGGAAGCATATTTTAAACCAGCCCATCTCTTCACAGGAGCAAATTTCAGAAGAATCAAATATGTACAAACTGTAACATCCAAAACGGACCCTGGAAATGGGGAAAAGGTTTTATTAATTTGATTTGTGCAGGGAAAGAAGAGAGCTCCTTTTTAGATAAACAGCTACCAGGAGAAATCGAGTGCGTCAATTCATAAGAGACAACTTGTCTTCATATTCTCACTCTGCTCATTCAAACCTTGAACAGCACGCAGCATAAATAATTCATGGCAGTTTTAAAGGCTTGCACTGCATTACTCAGTGCAATGTGACCAGCTTCATGGGTTCTTTACACTTCAATTCACTTCTCACTTACCCCTGCTAGGTCTTAGAAAAAAAAAAAACCACAGGCCCTTTTTTCAATCATCAAAGGAGGTCTTTGCACATGGATGTCGAAAATTTACCTGCTCCTTCCAGGTGGCGGCACACCAACCTAGACAGCAAAAGATGGCAATCCCAGATGAGGACGGGTTTGTTTTGTCCAATCTGGTACTATTTGCACATGCCTGTTTTTTATGTTTTAAAAAAACTTGCACAAGAATACAATAGCAATAGACTTGGGATAATTCTCATTATAAGAACAGAAAAAAGTTGAATTAGGGTCTATTACCAGTTTGTCTTTCTGCCTTTCACCATGGATTAGAAATCCACTTCTTCCATTGCCCTCCGGGTATGTGACCTTGCAGACGCCAACTCTACTGAGACCGCCTCCTTCTTGCGGCAACCATCCCCCACTGGAGTCATCTCGGGTCATAACCACAGCTTTGACTCGCACAATATAGCTGTCACTGCAATGGTAACAAAACAAAAACAAAACCTTTTGTGAGCATCACACAGTCTCATCAGTGTTTTTCTTGAGGGTGGTATTTCGACAGCACTGGTCTGGCCCCAACACAGTTTCTGCCCAGGATGGAACTCCAACTCTGTGACGGATGGCCTTGACCACTCAAGCCACCATAGGAAAGAGACCCATCAAACAGCAAGGAATGAACCCATTGGGTCTCCAGATGTCAACATACAGCTCAAACAACCCATGGTCCCAGACACTACTTCCCTCATGCAGCTGAGGACAGGGACCAAAAGAGCAGGGCGAACCAGGCAGCACCCCAAGGCTACCACCCACAAGGTATGCATCGGGGCATCAGGTCTCCAAAGTGTTGGAAGAACATGTGGAGCTCAAATAACCCACGAACAGAGTGTTTTAAGGTTTTCGTGATCAAATTAGTGAAGTGGGCTTTGGAAGATAAATTCCTCTGCAACTGGGGCAGCCTTATGGGAAAAAAAACCACAAGTGTGGCTCCAGCTGGTACCTCAGACAAAAGGAGACAGGAACAATCTCAGTTCAGATCATCAGGACCACATCATGTCCCTAAAACAGCTCCACCAGGATTTCAAGGGGTCCTCAAAGGTCACTTATCATAACCTCACAAGAAGCTATTCTGGAAGGACCTGAGATGCGGGGATAATCCAGGTGTCCATCACAAGGGGTCAAAAGAGTTCCCTCAGCAGGAGACTCTGCTCCCCCAGTCCTCCTCCTGCACCCTTTCCACAGAAAAGTTGCTCCAGCATCTGCTGGGAACATCACCAGGGAGGGGGTCATTTGGGAGCAGAAAGGCCACTACAGGACATAAGGAAAAGCTGTGCACCTTGCATGGGACACACAACAGACTCCAAGCTGTCCCCACCCCAGAGCTGCTGCAAAATACCCAAATTAGCTTTTCTGCCCTCACGCTGCTGCTGAGTCCTGGCTCAGTGCAACCCATCACGTGTTAGACATCGATTAACCCAGGGACTGCTCAGGAACAGCACTGACAGCTGTGACGCCCTCACAGGGAGGTCACCGCGGCACGGTTAGAAGTCAACCATGCATGACCAGGGCACTGCTGGCTGCAGAGCTGCTGAGACACCCACTGGCGCCCACAACGGTGCTGCAGGGAACTCAAACCTGGGCAGAACTGGGAACATTGACAGGGACTAAGAAAAAAGACACACACAGAAAACTGCCCAGGAATTGTCCACTGCCAGGTGAGCTCAGGAGGAGGAGGAAGCTCAACCTGTAGAAGGCTCCAAGAGGAGGCCTTTCAAAAGGACAGGTATCATTCTTCAGGGAATGAAATTCCTCCTTGAAGAAAGCTCTGTATCCGGACATTTTCCGAGCATCCTGCACGATGTGACAAGAGAATGGGCCCTTTCTATCCAAAATTACAAGCAGTGACAGCTTTCTTCATCCTGCACCAGGTAACACCACCTCTTGTTTCCAGATATTATTTTTGCATTGCTTTTGTAATCCAAGTGCTAATACTTGAAGTCTGAGTTCCCCTTTCTCTAATACAACCAGATTTTATTTAATACCTAAGCAAGCAGCCTCATGGGTCTTACTTGAAGGCAGTTTTGAGGACAGACCACGGGAGGCAGCAAGCATCTCCTGGCCAGAGGCACCTGGGACCAGCTAATCTCTTCTGCAGCGACAGATTTTGCAAAAAACTCACGCTGCGATTTTCCCTTCACCGGCTTTATTTTATGGATACAACAACTTTCTCACTGGACCTACACGATGAAGGCAGCACACAGATGCATAAGGTTCATCCCCTCTTGCTCTGAGGACTTTGCACTGGCTGACGAAAAGCTTTTCAGCCTACTCAGAGACAGAGACATGGCCTATACCACAGTGGACACACACAAGGCATTCACAGAACCGAGAAATTACATTTTTAAGAATATTTTTGCTCGAGTCCTTAAAAGCAGCATCCTGGTACAGGAAACAGGGCAAGCCTGTCTATAAACAGATCCAGTTACCTTTTTATGTTCCAATGAAAACCCATTTCTAGATTTTACCAGTTGCAACTTTAATCTCTCAGCTTGCTGATACTCAGAATTAAGCAAAATACTTCAGCTAATTTCCTACTGCGCAAAAATTGAGCTGCTTCCATCCAAGACAATTTTTCTTTTCTTCTCTGTACCCTTCCCATATGGTCTATAAAGATTAGCAATTAACAGATAAAGAAAAAAGAAAGACAACTATACATTTCTATATAGTTCTCCTGTTGCCCAAGGATCCTTTCTGGATTTATTTTTAACTCTTCTCACTTCTGGGGAACTCCCATTAAATTTCAAGCTCACTTCTGAAGCCAGAGCCGCTCAATACGACATTCCTTCCCATCCTACCGCAAAAGTCATCCACAGAAACTGCTTTTTTCTCCTTCCACACTTGAAAATTGCCACTGGCAATATAGCTTCCTGCAGGATTTACCATTCACTTTTATGGCAGCAGCCGGAGCCTTTGGCTGTCCCGAAAGTAATGTTGGCTTCGGTTACTTTGCTGCAGGAATTGTCCACTTAAAGGAAAATTAAGAAAGCAGCAGCTACTCAGTTACTTCTTGATTTCTACCAATTATTTGCGTGTTTCCATCGCCTCTCAGTGATTTCTCTAGGCTCATAATTGCATTTGAATACTAGTGGACGCCTACACATTAAATTTAGTTCCCCTGACTGCTAACCTTGCCCATTATAATCACAATCTGGTGGGGCACAGAGCCATACGGTTTTCATCTTCATATCCACACTGGTACCGCGACCTACGGCTCTTACAACCTCTGCCACCAAGGCCACCAATTTCACCCACGTGCCAAGAGAACACCACACAAACTGCATGTCTCCCATCCTGAAGAGCTACCTCCTTAAATATATCAGCCAGAAAACCTCACTTCCATTCCCTTTCTGCGGCAAGAAGACCTCTGCTCCCCTATTAGAAAAGGACCTTGTCCAGCAGAAGGCAAGGTAAGCAGAGCTCTGGCTCCGCTAACGCAATCCCTTGGCACATTTTCTTGCGTGATCAAAAGTCACCGGTGACGTCCCTGTCCCTGCTCCCACAGGACTCCACCCACAGGCGCACATTTCCCAACACGCAACCTACACCAAAGGACTTAGGAGGGGAAAAAAAAAAAGAAAGAAAGAAAGAAAGGAAGAAAGAAAAAAGATGTTTAAGGCTTCTCAGGGCTTGATGTCTTGGTTCAGTCACTGGACTAGGACTCAGAAGCCGCACGTTGAGTTTTCAAGGCTACACACAGCTTCCTTCAGTTTCAGATGTCAAAATCTTGCCTGCCGTTTCCATCCACAAGCCTAGAATAGGCAATGCTTCTTTCCCTCATGCCAGTGTTGATAAATACTTGGGAGGTACTCAAGTATTTCAGGTCCATATAAGGACCTTGCTTCCTTAGTGTAAAAGCTGTTTATTTTCTTTGCTGTTTAATTTTATGGGACAGCACCGAGGCTCTGGCTGGCTGCAAGTGCTCAAGATCCTCCAGAGTGAAGGAGCAACCTGCAAATCCCATGTGCATGTCACTGCTGAAAGCCTGGTGCACCAAAGCTGAGAAGCAACGACGTTCAAGTCATCCACCTGCACTTCTATCGCGGCAATTCTGCAAGTTGACTATTCCAGGAGAAATGGTTAATGAGGTATGTGAAGGTATTTAGCCCGTTACCATTAATGATATACCCACTGCTGCTGAGATTAGACAACACAAGCCTTTCATACAGTTAAAAATGAAACAGCCAAAAAAAAACCCGGAGCAGCCTTAGTTCCCCTCATTTTATTAGCTTCTTAAACTTTAAGACTGCTCTAATTGTCGGGTTTATGGCCTACGCGCTATGCATTTCATGCAAACTATTCTTAATTACGCTCTTAAATGGAATACTTTGCTATCTTAACCCCACAGATTTGTCTTCAACGGCCTTAAAAGCTTGGGAAGAAAGTATCTGCAGGGATTACCCAGCTGCATGGCAGGCAGCCAGCCTGTTCCAGGGCTGCTTCAGGTTGTACGCCGGCCCCACCCAGAGCGAAAAGCCATAATGAATTTGGGCAGGAAAGGTAGTGCAGAAAACCACGTGCTGTTTTTATTGGAAGGAAAAGAGCTTTAAAAATTATAGCTCGTGGGTGTGCATATATATATTAAAAATATATTTTACAAAAAAAAAAAAAGCGTGTGTATAATTGCTGCTCTGAAGGATATTGAGAATTTTCCTAAACAAGAAGTGACTGAATGATTACCTTTGCAGTAACTGAACCATGGCTGCGTTACCCATAGCCTAACTTTTCCAAAGCATTTGTGTCTAAGAGACAGGCAACGTTTAAGGCGGATAAAAATGTGCTTTCCTCCAGCATGCATGAACCGCATTGTAAAATGTGGCTGATGCCGTCCAGCGCTCTGACATGAGCCCCATCACTTACAGCCACCGGCGCGAAACCGATGGGGGACACAGCCCTGAGCCTTGCTGTACGCCTGGCGTGGGCTCAGGGCTGCAATCCTGCATCCAGGACTAAACGGCAAGTAATGCCTTCATTAGCTAAGGCTTTAATTCTGCCAGTGTCTTTGTAAAAGTAGGGTCATAGCTGAAGTCCACTGCTCCTTTCCACCAGCCGCTCTTTTCTACTTTGCTATATGCAGCAACTGTAAATACCATATCCGAGATGTCTTGAAGCTAAAAATCCAAAGGTGGGGGCAGGGCGGAAGGGGAAGAAAAAGTTGTCCAACCCACCACATTTATCCTTTGAGTCACATTTAATATCTAAACCACTTCCCAGACACCTTCCATATTTCAGTAATACTTTTCCTCTAGCCAAGCTAGTTGACCAAAATACAAATTTATAAACTTCCACACAAATGCAGCCATATGGCACTGCAGTATTTTCCTCCCTTCTCAACTTTCCAGCTTACAAGGCCAAGAGAGATCCAGGTCTCAGACAGAAAGGTAATTGCATATACTGGGTTTCAAAAATATGGACTGCTGCCTTTAATGCATCGACATTCCCAGATTTCAGGGAAAAGCCAAAGTAACAGCAGGAGGCTGCTAATGCAACGGCAGCAGAAGTCGGGCTGTTCAGCTGAACTGAACTGCGGACACAGAGTGCTTAAACGCAATTTAAACTATTTGGATCTATGCAAATTTAACTTTATGATTACTGGGAGATACCCTGCCTTTGCCTGAGCTGGATGTATTTCATGGTGCTCTTACTTTGCCTTCCATGCCCAGCTGGAGTTAAAGTCATGCAGTTCTGCCCTGATGATCGCTGGAAATCACATTGCAAGGATCCTCTCTGGAGCTCATCCCACAGCTGGAAAGCACTGGCATTTTGATGGAAATAATGAAGAACTGCTATTTCTGGAGTCCCGCTTTCTTGATCTGATGCTTGGTTCATGAACCTTCCAGCAAGGGTGAAATACCCGCAGATTATAGCCAGCGTTTTCTTCTTCAAAACCCTAACTTACCACTTTGTTAGAAAACTCCTGAGTGCACAGAGCCACAGCAAAATAAAGTTGATATCTTGATACCATTTAGATTTCCAGCAGGTTTGAAGCTTTTTCATTAAATACCAGCAAGAAAAAAAAAAAGCCACCTGCACCACACTGGTCAAACCCAATCTTAAAACGGAGCCTATATAAAACCATGGAAAATCTCCCAGAAATTTTCCTTGCCCTCACCTCTGCATCACACCAGGAACACAGAACCACCGTATCTGTAGCCCATCTCTAGCATGGCAAATTTGCAACCTATATTTTTCTGTCCTTCAAATCTAATACTGACAGAATAAGAAGGTGTTCTGGGAAATTTTGGCTTCCACCTGGTCAGGGTAAATACAAGACAGTTCAATCTCCACACGTCTTGGTGCGGCGATACTGGCCGAGTCCTGCAGTACATCTAGGGCACTTCACCTTGAACCAGTATTACAAGCTCAGTGTCAGGACATTTACCTGTCTCTCAACAAAATGAGAAAACTTTGCTGAGATTTAGGATTTCCTCCCAGCTTCCCTCTGAAAATGGAAAGGAGCTTTCTCTTCCAATTCCCCAATTTACACCTGGCTACTGAACTGAGTTTGGCAGCACATGCTCAGCTTGTACACTGACCATTTCATGAAAAAAAGGAAAAAAAAGATTGTATTAGCTCCAAGAAGACTGTTAGCTGCAGCAGCACAGAAGGTGGAAAGAGGAAAATCCTGCCTCAAAGCTAGTGCTTGTGTAGGATTTGGAAATCACTGTTGGTAAATTTTAAGACACACACAGTCCTACCTGCACATCCCATAAAGCACCTCAAGAGAAGCAGTTTTGCACAAATGCTGGGGATTTTCCTTCTGGCCGAGTGCTGCCCAAAAT